AAATAAGTAAGCTTAATTTTATTTATTACTTTGGTTATTTTGTTGATTACTCATTCATATTTTTCTAAAGATGATCAAACTAAAATCCAGCCGATATCTCTACATATATTACAATAATTATTTGGATATATTTGTTCATCAGTTACCTGACGTCTGTCTTAATCTGTAACAGCTGAATAAGAGTTCTTAGATTAGATTTTTTTTTTTTTTTTTTTTTTACATTTTTTCATGTGCAAATTTTGCCCAATTTTCCCAGCTCCGTAATTTGGAAATGTTTAAATATTTCAACATTAAGTGTTGTCAAAACACATTTAGACAATCTTCAAAATGTATCCAAAACCTCACTTTAAACTCCATTTAGTTCACCTTCAGGATCACTACAGTCATTCTCACTGAGACATTTATAAATCTCCAACACGATGCCAATTATGACAGCAATTTTCAATGAGTCTTGGCTGGTCACCATGTAACAGTTGACTGGTAATTGCTTATTATTTTGTGCATCTAAAGGTTCAGCCCATGAGGTTTATTTAATGGGAGGTTGGAGTGTTGGCATGTATTTAATGAGTGTTACTACTCCTAAATAGGTTTTCCTTGTGTCTGTGGTATTTTGGTATTGTAATCCCAGTCTGATCCAGTAGGAGGCACAGTTGTACTCAGAATCGATACTTTGTTTCTTTTTAATGCTGTGCTATGGTTGTCACTAAAACTATCAGCTGTGATTCAGCTCAGTGGCCATATATACGGACTTAGCTTATAGCATCTGTAGATATCCTTTCAGTTTTTCTTAGTAAATGTTGGTGGGGTTGTTTTTTTCGGTTTCCTTCTATCTAACAGTTTTCTCTGTTGTACATTTGGTATTTAATTTATGTATCTACATGGTTAAATCCCGAATCCCCCCTTTTTTTCTCCACTACAAAATGTTACCGTGTTTGTCTGTGGTGCTCTTACAATCCAGGTGATGAGTTCTTGCACTTCTGCAAATTGCCTGAAAATTGCCTTAAGCTGTTATTGCGATTTATGGTAGTCACTGATCACAGTACATTAGTAATGGGAAGTTTTTCACAGTCTTGCTTTATCTGCACACAGTTAATTCTATTCTGTGGTGTACAGTTTATCTGTAAAATTGCCTTGTGAGTTCTCTTCTTAATTCGGTCCGTCGCACTACGCCAAATGTCTCCTTTTATAGATCCCTGAGAAAATGTTTTATTATGTTGTTGTTCTTCTACTTGGATAGCTAACCTGTAAAGGTCCCAATGGTCTCTCCCTGTCAACTGTCTTTCCAGGCTATGGCAGTGTCTGAATCTCTAAGTTATGACAGCCAC